TTTGGCCTTTCTGTAGGCATCTTCACTGAGAATAATGATTGCAATCTCATGTATAGTACAGCTGTATGTTGGATAGTAAAATAAGCAATTCACTATCATAGCATTTAATATAACAGCATTCACAAATACTTAACTTTGGAATTATTCTGTTATCAGATATTTTGTATATAAGCAGAGCTGGCTTAATTCGTCACATCTGTGGCAACAAATACTGTGGAAGCTCACAAGTCAAAACATGAGAGTACTACGCGGGGTGGGGGGGGGGTGGGGGGGAAGAAGCAAGGGCTATCAGAGTTGTAAAGCCAAGCAGTCATGAATTGCTAAAATCACAGCTGCTGTTTCAGCCTCAATTTTTTGGCCCTTGTACTTTCCTGGTGTAACTGGGTGATGTAGGAGTCCGCAGGGAAGTACAGTGTACTCTCAGGTAATTAAAGTCTGTAATATAATGCGACCACATTGGGAGGCAGAATTAAGGTTGCACTATCATCTGTAAATCTTGCATTTGCTAATTTGAGTGCATAACTTCTTCACTGCTCCCCACCTCTTGAGAATCCCCCAACAACCACACTGGAAACTGAACTCTTTGCCTGATGTTGGCAGCTGGCTGTGTATCTTGAGACTCTGCAAGCTATAGTGCTACTGTCTTCAGGGACAATTTCTGATAGCTGGCAACATAAAAGGTGATACTTCAGACTGACGTGCCTACTCTGACATTTAAAGTTGCCTACTCAAATAACTGTAAAATAAATGCAAATTTTAAATATATATTCTTCTAAATCAACTCTTTTATGTAATTTAGAAGAGTTTCTGTAGACTACATTTCTGTCAGAGTGGTATTTTTTCATCGGAACAATTGAAGACGGGCCTGTACTGCCAGATCTAGTTTCCTGTTGAAATTTAAACATTTGTTTTACCCTCCCTCTGTCGTTTATGTGATTAGCTGGTCTTTAGAAGACAAAACCCGAATGTCCTGCTGCTTTAAATAAGGAAGAAAACATTCCCATTCTCACAAGCAGTCCCTGTTTGCATTAAAAAAACAGATGAATCTGTTTGGATCAGATTTACCAAAACAAACAGAGTGTACTTTGGATTAAAAACTAAGGGATGGTAAACTTGTCTCAGAATTAAGAAGTCCTGAGGAACTGGAAATTATGACTTCATGGTGTCTGCAAGACTATCTGAGCTGCCACAGGGCATATCTGGGGCATATTCTTCCTATGAGTTAGTTGCTGCAATTTGTAATGGTCATGTTGTGAGCCCTCCAAATGTCAGCATCCTGTTTACTTGCTTTTAAGCCCAAGAGTTACTACATTTTATGTCTCCAGTTTGTGCTATTAGAAGAATGTAGCCTGTGATGTGTAGCATGGATACCTCCCCTGGCTAAGCTGACACTGAATTGTTTTCCAGTTCTTGGTTTGTTGGATGAAGACATCGTGTACAGTTACTGGTAAAGCAGAAATAACTTGTATTTGTCAGTGTGTGCTGGAGAAATGGACTTGTTACATTAAAAAAAAAAAAAAAAAAGTGCAGCTGCTTGAAAAGCAATTGGAATATTGCTGATAAAAGTAAAAATATAATGGTTTCTTTTTAAAGGTTGTTCTAGGGTGAGTGATAACCTGTCTCTTCCATGTGTTTTCCGGCAGTATCAGTAGTGATACCTTTTGAGGCATGAGGTGCACGGTTTATCTCCTGTATAATTTTAGGGATGGTTTTGTCATGTATACACTTCTCTTTGGCATTCTGAATGACATGGAAATGTGTAGCTTGCTATCAGGTTGATTGAAACGAGAAGAAATGCCCATGGCATGGGTGCTGTTTACGAGACACCCCTTTAATGAGCAGAAGTGTTTCTCTCCTGCATAGGAATAAGCATAATTCCTAAAGTGTCTGGGTTTGTTGCTTTGCCCAAACCAAATGACTTCCTCTGATCTTTATTTACTGAGTGCTTATTCTTGTTTGACATGCAAATACATTACAGGCTGAGATCGAGGTCCATATTAAGGCCAAATAAGTGCTTTGTATATGTTACATCAAGCTTAAGAGGAGAGTTTATTACTGGTTCTGGGAGCAAGGTAACTTCTTGAGAGACAGAAGTAGTGCACTTAGTTCTCTTATGCCAAAGTAATGATACTGAACAGTGCATTACTGTAAGTTTTGTCTCCATTTAGAATGTCTTCTATTGGTGTATTAAAGGATAGAGCGCTTGGAAGATACTGCTCCTGGAGCTCTTTTGCCCATTTGGCCTTGACTTGGGGCTATTACACCCCATTATAAATTATCTGAATATCTTTATTGTATCCTACTGTTTGAAGTACACAAGACCATACTTGTAGTTACTTGCTGAGTTGCTAAGTTTAATCATCTAATGTTGGCAATTAAAAAGTAAGTCAAAGCAAGCATACTGTCTCTCTTTCAAAAAAAAAAAAAAGGAAGCAGTCTCCTGACATGTCACTTTCTCAGAATCTTTTTGCGAATACATTAAGCAAATGAGTTATGTTTGCCTGTCTTTTCAGTTGCATTCAGTTTGCATGTTTTTCCTCCTTGTCTGCTGCACTTTTTCCTGTTTGTCAGATCCTAAACATATATGCTTGCCATGTAAGGCTGCGATACTGTATGGTGGTTGCTGCCTCTCAAATCTGCTTAAATTCACCTGAGAAAAGAGTATTTGTGCTGGGTGCAGTGCAATTCCCTGTCTTGGCTATGAGGTGCTATGATACAGTAATCAAAAATTAGGTTTGTGCTACTTGTTTGAAAATATCCACAGCATGAAGAAATTCTGCCAGTCTGTGCTTGGAGTCCTGGCTCAGAAACAGCCCTCTGTCCAGAGGGGAACAGTGAACTCTCTTATAAAAGGTAGCAGCAGTTGCGTCTGTGCCTCAGAATCTGTGTGGTGCTAATCTTTCTCTCTCTTCTCTCCCACTCTTAATTTTTTTTTCTTCCTTAAGCTAGTAAGATCAAGCTACACTGTAGTCTTCTGGGGAAAGCACTGTCTTCTGCTGGCAACATCTGAGGCTCAGCAAAGAAATGTTGCATACAAATACACAGCAGTCCCTGATCCCAGGGACAAGCAAAGTTTTTTGTCTTAGAGCACAAGCGTATCAGCATACCAGCTTGCGTTAACACGGAGGAGAAATAGGCCTAGATGTGCAATTACCTGTAGTCGTCAGAGGTGAGGCCGGCTTGTCAAACCAGGATGTGTGAGAAGCGATCGCTGCCCTGTGATGTGACACCGTGCCTGTAAGATCCACACCCAGCAGCCTCTGTACGCCTAGATAGCCACCGTGGTGGCACAGGGTACGGCGGCCAGTGTGCATCAGTGTTTTGCATCATGCTCTGCACATATGTGGTTTGAGCTTTGAGGGTTCCGCCCCCTCCTTAGGATCTGTGCGCTAGGTAAAGGAATGGGTCGAGTTAAATGCTCTAGCGTGAAGTTGGTGTGGATTTGGTTGTGTCACCTCCTTGGTCACTGCCCAGGAACAGTGCTGGCATAAAGGTGTCAGAACTGTGGCTGGTTACCAGCCCAGGAGAGCCCTGTGCCTAAAGAGCTGCGGAGCAGTGCTGCGCATTGGAAGCACACTGGTGATCTGAGTTTGCCCAGTTTGAGGTTTCTGTGATAAAACCTAAATTTAGCACAAACCCGCATTGACTAATTTTAACATTCTGCTGCTGTGTGAGGCTCTGTCTAGAGTTCCACGGCATCGGTGATCATAGCCGAGGTTTGCCTTGATGCTCTTAAAATAGTAGCTGGGCTTCAGGTCTGGGTTTTTTCTTCTCTAGATGTATTAATATTGCAACACTGAAGGCGTGCATTTTGCGATACCTACCCTTTGTAGTTTCCACTGCAAGATATTTTCCCACCATGGTTAAATGTGGACCTCGAAGCAATGAGCTGAGCCAACTCTGCAGAGAGCTCTGTTAACACCTTAAATATGTTTTGGTTTTTGTTGTTTTGTTTTGGTTTTGTTTTTTGGTTTTTTTTTTTTTGCATTGTTTCCAACTTGCAGCAGGCTCTGACTGCACTCCTGAGCCTCGAGTAGCGAAGCACAAGCAGAATGGGTTGGCTTGCCCCAGTCGTGTTGCTGTGCAGCTGCCGTGGGCTTGAGGGACGGGACGTGTGTTTGATCTCATCAGACCTAGGATAGCTGCAAGGGGGATTAAGATGTGATGGTTCCAAAATGCTGTAATAATCACTGTAACCTGTACTTGCGTGGATGTAGATCTTTTAGCCTGCAAAGCGTGTTGAACTGTGCTGTAGGCTATCCCCCACGTCTGTAACTAGATCTTTGGGCAGGCTGGGGGGAATCTGGTCGAGTGGTTTCAAAACCCTTTTAACAGCAGCACTGCAAACTGGTGGTCATCACGCGATTCTGCAGCACATAGTATTGAAGGCTTCATTTTAACTCAGCAAAGAATTACTTCTTCAGGAATATAAGGCAGCTGCTGTTCTCAAGCTGTTCTTGTTCTTGCAGAAGTTGAAAAAAAATGCCATAAGTGTTAAAGCAAATGAGAAGACATATATTTGATTTGTGCATTGTTTGTGTGATGTAGTTACAGGATGAGTTGTTTTGGAGGAAATGCGAAAATACTGTCTAGTCTGAGCTTGTATACTTCACCTGATATAACTTAAAAAGCCCTGGATAAATGATACAGTGTAGTAATCATATACAGTCTCAGATACAGGATGGGAGAACACCCTTTTCACTAAATAAGCTTTGATGCTAACAATTACAGTTTAGATTTTTGTTCAAGTTAGGCCATAAATTATTCTTAGTCAGAGTTGATGCATCTTTTCCACTTCGAAATTTGAAAGAAAGGATGCTATTAATTTAGGTTGGACTGTGATAATTACCATCTTCATCTTGTATGTTTTTAAATGTAAAATAGATATCTCAAACAAATGAAAACAAAGACTGCAAGAAATTATAATTATGGGACAATTGGAAGTCTAAAATGAATGTTTTAAACTGATGATTTCTCTACCCCTCCCTAATTTATTTCAGGTTTATGACTCCGACTGTTGCGACAGCATTCTTCTGGAGCTGCGGGAATATCTGCCAAAATACTTTGGTGTCTGGTCACCACCTACTGCACCAAATGGTACTGTTCTAATTTTATCTGCTAATCCAAACCTCCTTGAAAAATCTTCTGGAGACTGATTTTTGGCAGTTGTGAGCTCCCTAGGGTGTTTGGTTTTTTTCCCCATTTTGTACTGTAACCCACTAATGTTCCCTCTAACAACTGGTTCCAGTTTGCAGTCCTCTGGCTCGATCAGGCCTTTGGGCTCTTCCTCCCAGGGGAGATGGGGCATGGCCATTTGTATGGCAAACGTTTTCTGAGCAGCTGGACCTGGTGCCTACTGCCCCGGAGCTGCTGCTCTGGTCTGGATCACGTTGGAGGAGTGGGCTGGTTGCACATTTGTCTGGTCAGGCCATCAGAGAAAGAGATGGATGCTGTATGGGTGTGTGAAGAGATAAAAATGGATAGGCTGGGTCCGAGGGGGAGACGTTCAAACTGGAATCTGCTGCTGGATCCCCAGAAGTTGGATCCTGTTGCCATGCTGTGTCCTGCAAAGCAGTTATTTCAGCAGGTACCTTCCTGTGGAGCCCTTCTTGTCATCCTCTGTTACTAGTTACTGGTACCTTAATGTTGTGTTTGTATAACATGTTAGGAGTCAGGAAGAAAAAGTTATTTTGGGAGGACAATTGGAAGATTGTCTGTTCTAGAGAAAATGGATGATGTTTTTAAAACAGAAACTAGTTTTTATTCTGGGGGCTCTTATTCACACTGGGGAAATGGAGCTTCTGGAACATATGGAAACAAAAGGATGCTGTGAAGTCTATTTAAATACCAAAACTAGACACTATGCTTCTTTAATATAACTCCTTCTTTTGCTTATGCTGTCACTTGGTAGACTTGTTTTCCAAAGAGAGCAGTAAGACGGTGTCCAAAGACATTTGTTAATCCAAACTGTCCAAAGACACCGTCTAAACTCTGTGAAAAGGAAATGCAAGGAGGATTGTGGTTGTACCCAGCACTTTTTTGGCTCAAATTTGCCTTCATGCTTTCATTTTTGGCACTAACTCAAATAGCGTTACCGGAGCTATCTTCTTCCTTCCCTTATAATTTTATGTGTGTCATGGAGTTCACTTAATGTCCCCTCCAAATTGCAAATCAATTTTTTCTTTTCACAGTAGGATCTTAAGATGTAAAAATATGTGGTCTAGTCAAAATACAATAATTAAACACATCCCTAGTTTACTTTGGGAATTCACTAGCACTGCGTACCATGGGGCTGAATTTTGGCAGGTCTACACCAGTAGTCCAGACATAGCCTCTAGGAATAGTTGCTGAAGGGAAGAGTAACTTTTGGTTTTGTTTTGCTTCTTGAAAAGACTGTGCACTATCAGGAGCCCTCTTCATAGAAAGCTGTGGTGGGGGTTCAAACAAAACGCTCCACTGCCAACTCTGTTATCTGTAGTATTAATATGTTTTGTGTAGTCTTGATAGAAACCAAATACACTGGAGCTCAGGGAGCTTAACAGAACGCGCGCATGCTGGATACATCCAAAGCCAGGGAGGTAACCATTCATGTTGGAAGTTATCTGTTGTTTAGCAGGTATTTGCAAATGCAATTTCGCTAATGTTAGATGTGAAGTGTTTGTGTGTGTGCATCGGTGCTTGGCACCAGCGGTGAAAAGAATCAGCAGTATTGTGTTTTGACTGCATTAAAAAGTAGGAAAACAAGTTTAGAAAAATAGGAAGAGGAGAAGTAACCACACAGATGAGGGACATGGAGACACTATTTTGGGGAAATTGGGGATGAGTTTGTTACCTGTCCCCCCAAATGAGCTGTGGATTAAGCTCTGGTCCAAAAGATTGAACAATATGTTTAGTTGCTGTGGTGTGTCCCAGTGACATTAGATGAGGGAATCTAGCTGCTAGAAAGGTGTCTAGTTCTTAAATATAGATTGAGGACGTATTTGTAGGATTTTGCCATCTTGACATGGGAAACCTGACCTTTCATTTGGCAGTCACTGCTCTACAGACTCTGGGGACATGGCTGAATCAGTTTAGGAGCAGTGAACCCAATAATTCCTTATTGTTGCTAAATTGGGCATAGGTGACTTCTAATAAAACCAAAAATTAAATTAATCTATCAGTTACCAAACTGCTTTCTGCGTGTTCTGAATATATATTTTTTTTAAGATTGTTCATGTGGGGAAACAATGGCTTGCTGTTGTGGTTTGAGCCTGGTTGGCAGCCAACAACCACCACGCAGCCACTCTCTCTCCCTTCTCTTCCGGCAATAAGAAGGGACAGAGAGCCAGGCTTGGGGTTCAAGACAGGACTGGGATGGGGAAAAATCACCATTTATGGTCACGAGCAAAAGGCAGACTCGTTAGGGGAAGAAAAAAAAGAACATACATTTATTACAGACACTAAGAACAACACTTAACAGAGTAGGACAGTGAGAAGCATCACCACATCTTGAGAACACCTTCCCCCCACCCCTCCCTTCTTCCCAGGCTCAGTTCTGCTCCCGATATCTCTACCTCCTCCCCCAGTGGCGCAGGGGCAGGGAATGGGGGGTGCAGTCAGTGCTGCCACTTCCTTTATCTTCGGTGAGGGGAGTTTCTGGAACTTCTTCCCCCTGCTCCAGCGTGGTCCACCTCTCACAGCAGACAGTCCTCCACAAACTTTCTCCAACTTGAGTCACTCCCATGGGCCGCAGCGTTCCCCACACTGCTCTGTCATGGGTCACTAACTTCCTCCGACTGGATTTTCTCCCACGGCTGCAGCCCTTCCCGAGCTGCTCCGGCGTGGGACTCCCCCGCATGCTGCAATCCTCCCAGTGCTGAATTACAGCAGCGGGGCTGCCTTTTCCCACGAGACCCCGGCCTTCTTTGGGCACAGCACCTTGATCAACAAAGCAGAAGCCACAGGCCATAAATCCATGTCTGCTCCACCGTAGATCTCCATGGGTGGCAGGGGGGGCTGCCCTGCCGTCTCCCCACAGGATACAGGGGGGTCTCTGCTCTGGCACACCTCCCCCCTCCTTTCTTCCTCCGTTTCCCCACTGACCTTGGTGTTCACGCAGCTGCCCCAACTCCTCCTCACCAGTCCCACTGCTCCTCACCACGTCCCTTCTTAAATACGTTCTCGCAGAGGCGCAGCTGATGGGCTCAGTTTTGGTGCAGAGGTGGAGCTGACTTGGAGCTGGGGGAGCTTCGAGAAGCTTCTCACAGGGGGTCGCCCCTACAGCCCCCTCCCCTGCTACCAAAAACCCCACCACTCGCTCAAACCCAGGACACTTGCCTAGCTTGCCAGGGCAGAGAGAGGATGGCCATTGGTGACCTTGTTTAATATAAAGTTTTTATATTTATGAGATAATGAGGACTCTTTGGTGAATGGTGTCTTGTGTGTGTAATGTCATAGTTATCTTGGGTAGAGGGTTGAGAGTTTGAGTAGGTTCATGCAGACATGAAGAGAATTGTAGGCTTGTGGTAGGAAAAAAAAAAACAGAGTAACTTAGTTTAGGACCCCTTTGAACTTGTTCAGTGACTATCTCTTGAGTTTCCATGTGACAGGTAAGCAGGAAGTGCCGTGGGTAAGGTGGAGAACACAAGGTGTTTATTTTCTTAGAGAAATATTTGGGGAGAAGCATCAGTCTTCTGTGCTGAAAATGTAGATTAGTGGATTAAACTGCTAGCTAAAAGTGGGGAAATATATTAAGTGTAAAAGAACATAGGAAGCGTGTCAGATGGACTGATACAGTATCAGTAAAATTTGTAAAATAACTGCCCTGTTACAGTGAAATTGCATACCTAGTACTACTGAACAGAAGATGCAGTTAGAGGTGGGTTACATTCCATCTCCCCAAGCTAATATCAAATCGGAGTGAGGCGATTTGATTTGAACTTTGAGTTGACTGGCATTGTGGGCATTTGGAGTTTATTAATAAAGAAATGGAAAAGTTGTTATGAAGATGTAAGAGCCATGTTAAGCTTTTTATATCTCCTACTGAGAGTTCTGATTTTTACTGCCTACTTGTTGCCCCTACATACTTTTTTTTAAGTAACTCTACTGCTGCTCATTTCATACTGTGCGCTGATTTTTGTTGCCTAAACTGAGAACAGAGTAGATAAATATAAGCCAGCTTCAAACCTTTCTTTTCTTCGCTTGTTGCTGGGAGCAACTGAGGCTTTTCCCTGCTTGTTCATGTTTTGAGAGATGTCTTGTAAGTTGTGAGAAGTCAGATGCCTCAAGTTATTTTGTCACTTCTGATTCCAGTGAGGACTGAATGCATCAGTATGTGCGTGTTGAAGTCTGCAGCGGCTCGTGCCATGCATACTTGCTGCATTTTGGTCATCTTTTGGTTTGTCTCCTTTAGGACTGTAATAAAATATGTAAATAATATGTCAAGCCACATCTTCCTGCCTCCTTCCCTGCCACTGGAAAATAGAAAGGGGGAGGGCAAGCCTCTGAGGACTGATTTGTATCAAACCCTGAAATACATAGTCAGGATTATCTACCAAAGCTAAGATACAAAAATCCGTATGAGTTCTTTTCTCTGCAGGGGATTTTAATTTAGCCTGGTTTTAGACGGCAAATGCATGATTTTCAGAAGCACACTGTGCTAGCAATGTACTGCACAATAATTTAGAAAATCCAAAATGCTTGAAAAATCTGCAATTTTTTGTTTAACAAAGCAAGGAGAGGAAGGAGAGTGCTCCTGTTATGTAGGCTCAGCTGCGTTGGTGACCTTGAGAAGGGCAGTTGGGGTCAGATCCTCAAAAAGCCTATGAGAGCACCTGTCTTGAAAAGGTGGAGCAGCAATACCTACCGATGTCAGAATGCCATTCTGAATGCCAGCTGCATTTGCCTTGGTCTGAATGCTTTGAGATGCTGTAGGGGTACCTGTTGAAAGCTGTGCTATCTTCTGACACTGTGGGTCTGGGGTCTGTTTTAGTAGACTGTAGATCTTGAGCACAACGCAAATAAGAACCAAACAGTGCCAGGAAGAAAACGAAGTGTGAACACTTGATGCATTTTTCTGAATCTGTAATGAGAAAAAAAATAACTTGGTATAACGCTTTATCTGTGGTGGCATTGCTCTCCCCACAAGGACAAAAATCTTTTTGAGAGTGGGGGTGTGCATTGAACAGATGTAACAGTCTTAATTCTGAGCTAGCAGTTAGCTGATGATGAAGACTTAAATATTAATCCCAAGAAGTGAGAGAGAGATGAGTCATTTCTGGATAATTCACAGGCTTTGCCTAGTAATTAGTATTTCTCAGGTTTAGTGTTAGCTCTTAATTATTTTAATGCCTTTTTTTTAAAAAAAAAAAAAGTAATTGTTACATTTTTTAGGAGGTCAATAAGGGAGGTATTTCTGGCTTAACGGATCTGAAATGCATGGGCAACTAAAAAATGACAGATACTTAGAACTTTTAAATATTTAGGAGCTGCTGGATGTTGGTGCTGTGTGCTTAAGAAGGGGGATTTGGACCAGTGGAGGAGAGGACAGCGGGTAACCATGGGTGCTTGACAAATGCCTTAGATGGAAAGAGCACAACTATCTTGCCTGCGTGTTGTCTGAAGGGGAGCATGCTAGGTTTTGAGAGATTTAAGTTCTGCTTTTTAAGCCTGTTATTTTTATGGGTTCACTTTTTGTTGCATTATGGAAATAGATGTTTTAAACTAACTTATATACAGTCTTATTTTAGGGTTGATAGAAACATTGTATCTAAACAGTTTGTATAATTTGTGGTAACTTCTAATTTGTATGATTTTGTATTTGTAACAGTTTGAGTCTGGAGGTGCTCACAACATAATCCAAAGCATTTTGGAGTTAGTGGTGAAGGACTGGAGCCATTTTCTGAGATGTTTTTGTATTTATTTTCTTTCCCCACCTCCCATGGCATACCTCTGGCTCAGTGCTTTCAAGAGCTAAGTACTGAAAACCTTGAATTTCACTTAGTTGTTGTTTTCTGGGTTGTTTTAGAGAGATGACATGAATCTATTGATTACAGTGACTTTTGTAATAGGCAAAAAGGATAGGTGTGAAGGATGATGCTTTGATTTTTACAGTTTCTGTTTTAATAACAGATAGCTAACAGATTATATGGACTTCCCTGGGTTCAGTAGTGGTTCCCCAAAGCCCCACAAAAGCTGTGCTCTTATCTGACTGAATTAGACCCGTGTATAAAAACTTTAAATAGAAAAGGTAGCACCTGCAGTTCAGGTGATACAGAGTACTCTTCCTGGTAGGGAAAGGATTTGTCCTGCTTCTCGTTATAGGATATCTAGTGTGCACATACAGAGTAGGTTTGCTGCCTGTGGCTTCTCAAAGCAAAGTATGAGTTATTTTAGCTTGGATATCCCTACAGGTGCAGTTAAAAAACCCGGTTTATTGGTGAGCTAGTCTATAATGGAATTCTTTTTGCTGTAGCTAGATTGATTCTGTAGTCCAAAGGACATGGAAAAGTACTGTAAGCTGATACAGTGAGTTAGTAGAAGACTGGATTTTTTTTTTTTTTTTTTAATAGTGTATTGGTTTGACATGCTTTCCTGAGAATGACTTTACATTAGCAATATGCTTAGTCTCATTTATACATAAAGCAGGCGTGTAAGGATTAAATCAAACCTATTTCAGATTGATACATACATGATTTGGAGATCTGAAACATTGAATCATGATGGTGTAAAAATTGAAGCTCTAAATAGGACTTATTAAAGTAAGTCCCTTGTATTTCTTATTCATAAGAAAGTGCTTCTACTTATTAAGTAGAAATGGAACATTGCTTATTCCGTTCATCTTGATTTTTTTTTTTTTTTTAACCTGTCTGTACAGCTACCAAAACAAGGCACTTTGTCCCTTTTCTCTCTTTAAACTTGAACTGGTTTTGCTTTCTTTGGCAATCCCATTTTAGATCATGCTGCAAGAATGGGGAATAATACAATGTTTTTGTATATTCAGATTGCATTAAATCCAAAGAAATACACTCTTGGAATAGGCTGTACTGGAAAGAAAAAACAGGCTTTAATGTGAAGTTTGTGACTGATAGCAAGTGGATTTGCAGAAGCTGGTGCCTGGGTTCATTTTGTGCCCTGGCAAGGGCTGGAGAGCTGTGCAAGCTTCCACCAGTCAGGTGGTTACTGAAGCTTGTTTTCTTCATGTGTTCTGGCAATCCGTGCTGTAGTTCGTGTTGGTTATAGTCTCTTACCTGCACTGGAGAAAAGCATAAACCAGTTCGACCAGGTTTTAGATATTCCTTTAAGTCTTCAGGCACAACAAGGGCTTGGGGGTTTTTTGCTCCACCCACCCTCCCAAAGCGACTTTTGGAGATGGATGAAAGGCAGCCTAGGATTTGAGGAATGTTTTCCCCAAAAGGTGTGCCATGAGAAATGAGTATGGATGGGAGTGGGATAAAAAGAAGAAAAAATAGATGTATTTTGGCCACTGTAGGGTAGGACTCTGAAATGTTAATTTAATTTTTAAAATGACACAAAGAAAAATTGTTGTTTTGACTCTAGCCCTTTCACACAGAGAAAGAAAACACCGTCTCCATTGTAAAACCAGCCATGTAGTAACCTGCATTATTAATGTTATTTGAAGTAAGTTAATGGCTTAATAAAAGCTACTAATTAATTTCATCTGGGCAATAATTTGAATTTGAATGCTAGGTTAGCACACTTAATTGTATACAATTTTCTAAACAATAAGGCATTTAGAATGTAATGCCAACAGAATTTGTGGGTGTCGATGACCAGGATTTAGTCTGAGTTGAGACAAATTTGACTCGTAAAGAACTCACGTGATGTTAAGCCTTAAACTATTCTCCTTCCTCCACAGAAGCTCATCAGAAACTATATAATTATTTTGCTTTGACCCACTGTTTATGAAAGTTTTATCTCTTTAACAGATACGTATCTAAAACTGGAAGATGTGACCCGTAAGTTTAATAAGCCTTGCATAATGGATGTAAAAATAGGTCAGAAAAGTTATGATCCGTATGCTTCAGCTGAGAAGATACAGCAGCAGGTCAGCAAATACCCGCTGATGGAAGAGATTGGCTTTTTGGTACTGGGCATGAGGGTAAGAACTTGTTTTGTTTTCATATTCAGCTTATGCTCTGGCCGGTTGTCCCACACCAGATACAGCAGCTAGTTTTTCTAGCAAATGGCAATCCTCTTGGCTTGACGTAAATAAAGTGTTACCTGAGTGTGTTGGTAGTACTGGTATCAGCTGTTGGGTGAAATAAGTTCCAAAACACTGCTCTTGTTCACAAGAAGTGTTTGACTTGGCCATATCCCTTCTGGGAAGTTTTGTGTAATTTTTCTATTTAGAGAAGAGTAAGAGGTGATGCATGTAGCTAGAAATAGCTGATTGTGTTCTGCATTTAAATAAGCTTTCCACTAGTAGAAAACCTCTTTGATACTTACACGCTCGAGGAACAACTGTCAGTTGAAGGTTAGTTTGAGATTTATAAGGCCCTGCAAATGTCTGTGCTAACTATATTATATTTCCTTATCTTGGATGAGGAGAAAGCTGAGGATTCAATATTTGTGTATTGGCTACTCTAAAATGTCAATGTACAGAAAAGCTGTACAGAATAGTTGTAGATCAGTAACATAAATGTGTAATGTCAGTAAGGGATTCCTGATGCGATGCATTTAAAGTACTTTTTTCTGCTATGATTGGCTCAGGAAAAGTTTTCTTTTTGCTATGAGATTTTTCTTTTCCTTCTCACATGCACAGAGCCAGGGCTTCTCAAGCTCCACATCAACAAGCATAAATGGCTGAAGACTTTGATAAGCTTCCCCTTTGCTGTTAGATAGCAACAGCACACAGATTGCACCATTGTTTGAAATAATTCTAATATCTCTGTAATGTTTTGTACTTAATTGCCTAGGCTCGCAGCCTTAACTCTGTCTTGAGATAAGCTTCTACAGCTATAAATTATAGTGGTCATGAGTAGTAATTATGTAAGCCTGTGGGAGAGAATGTAGGAGATGAGTCAAAAACCAGTCAAACAGTTTAGATTGAGAAGGAAGGCTGGAGATTATAGTTTTGGATTTGGCTTATGCCATTATATAACCTTTCTTATCTCGTGGTGTACTTCACATCCTTTGTTTCATGACAGTGCAAAAGGAACAAATGCCTGCTTCCATGGTGGTTTTGCTTGTGACTGTTGTTTCTAACATTGTCATTTATCGGTAACTTTATCCTGTTGCAGAAATTCTTTCAATTCTCTAATTCAGACTGTAGGCACAGTGATGGTTCCCCCAAGCCCTTGCAGTTTCCCATCCAGTGTTTAACTCTTGAGATTTGTTTTCTGCCTTTTGTACCAAATTGCATGTTGGAAGTTATTTTCAAAAAAAAAAAAAAAAAATCAAAAGGTTCCTCCTCCCCTCACGCAATGCTTAGCAAAGTCTAAATTCACACGGCATTTTCCCTGCTCAGCTTGCCGCCTCTTGATCATGAGGTGCTGTCTGCCTGTCTGCTTGCTTTCATTTTTGTACGATTCTGCCCGTAGTATAAAACACTCCCCTGTTTGGGCATTTGCTGCCTGTAACAGCTAATGTTCTGGATAAAGGTTGCTAGCGGTTGCTGGACAAAACGTGGTATAACACGCTTCAGAAAGTAGAGGGGTTTGGTTTTAATTTCTCCGTTCAGTGTTCTTTTTGACATGGAGGTAGGCTTGCCTAGTAAGTTTCTATTTTAGAAGAGCAAGAAAGAGAGGACCAGGAAAAACAAAATGGAATTACCTGTGTTTTAAAGTACACATCATCTAAGCTGTTACAAGGAGATAACAAGCAAAAATGTGTTATAGGTAGGGGGTTTTACCCCAGAATTTATTTGTAGTGGGTTTTTACCCCAGAAGCCATTGACACAGCTTTTTTTTTTTTTTTTTTTTTTTTACACGATGATAAATAAGCAGTCATCTGTTTTACATATAAAATATGTATGGTTTGTCCTTAAAAGAAGTGAGTCTCCTACCTGGCAGAGCTTTGATTTATGTACATAGGTCTGGCATATGGTATGTGCTAAACTATATTCATCTTAATGCACCGAATAGACCGAATAAATGCGTGGAAACACATTTAGAAAATGCAGACATTTTAATAATGTTGGTTCAAACTGCAATTTCATGTTCAGTGGAGAGATTCCTTTCTTTAACAGACGAGCACGTCAGTTTGTTCTGAAAGAAGTGAGAGTTGAAATGTAAGTTGAAAAACTAAGGTATGGCTCCAATAGCAAAAATACAAGTTGCAGTATGGTTTCAGTAGTAGACATATAAATATATAGGAAATATCTTTGCTGTGCATGCAGTATTAAAAATAGAGTGTTCTGTATGCTGCAGAATGCAAGCAAGAATGTGTGGGTTGTGATCTCCTTTCGGATTCACAATATGTTCAGAATTCACAATTCCTGATTTTTTTTTTCTTCCAGAACATCTTGATTGCAATATCGTGTAGTCCATAATATTTCTGAAACGTGTTTTTAAAGCACAAACTGACGGTTACATAACTTTGCCAGTATAATCTTATCATTTACTTTTATTGTTTGTGCCTGTGAACTATTGCAATGCAGTGATGCAGAATACCTCATCAAAGCTGGTTTTACAAGTGAATTTCCTAATCTACAGCCCATGTTCCGGGAAGATATTTAAAAACTGATTGTAGCTGAGTCCGTTTTATGAGTTCTTTTTGAACCCTTACTAGTATCGTGGTAATTTTCAAAAGCTCTGATGTGTTAATAATAAGATTTAGGAAGAGAGGAATTATAAAGCCATTAAATGCTGTGTCTAGTGTTCATGTTCTTCCACAGTAAAAAATGACCAGAACTGGGGGTTTTTACATTTGTGAGTGTAAGTCAAGCTTTGATGTTTAAGAAAACAGGAAGACAAAACAAAAACTGGAAAAACCTCCATGAAACTTAAACAAAAAAAAAAACCAAACCCACAGCAAACCAAGGAAAGAAACCAAAAGCCTGGGGGGGGGTGGAACACAAACCAAAACTCCACACCAGCCGTATTTCCCCCCGAAGTCTGGAAGCAGGTGCGTGCCGTGGTTGACATGAGCAGCAGGCCAAGGCTCTGGTTGGATTCTCCGTGCTGGCGTCGCTGCCGCCTCTGCTTTTTCCTCTCGGCGCTTTGGCTCGCTGATGGTGGCGGCTGGGTTGGGCTCACCCACGCCTCTGCAGCAGTTCCCTGGGGTCCCCTGCCGGACCCAGGGGAGGGGTCTGCTTCCGAAGTGGTGTGCTGGTAGAGGTCAGGACACTCAGCCGTCAGCCTCTTGAGCAAGTTCTGGCAGGTGGGTGCTCGGGCTGGGTTTTTTCCATCTATTTCTCCTTACACAAAGGGCCCGTCGTGTGTATGACAGCTGGTCCACTGGTGTCCTCGTGGCTGAGGCGGCTTCCTGCATGTTAGGAAAAAGCTGCTGAGGGGTGAGATGAGATGGCCTCTTTTTTTTTTTTTTTTTTTTCCTTCCCTCTATTATATAAAAAGGAGACCTGAAAGAAATTTATACTTTTCTATTTATATATGGAAGTTCTGGGAGTCCAAAATTATGTATTAAGCTGTTTTTAAAATGGTTCATGGTTTAACTGCTGTGTTATTGTTTCTTTTATTTAGGAGATTATTAGTCTGCTTTTTCACTGAATTAATTTCAACATAATTTCATTTTACAATTTATTTATGTAAGGACCTTACCAGAACTTTATATTGACTGTCAGAGCATTTGGTGGTATATTTCCTTATATAAAACATTCTCAAATACCAGAAGAACCAAGAAACAAAGCAGATAGAATAAAATGTAAGTATAGTCTTAGAAGCAGGGGAGCAGGGATGCATCCTTCCTGTGCTGAACTTTCAAGCCAGCAGCAAGCAGGGATGTGTGTTCTTTCATCACGTGTGGTCTAGCAACAACAACAACATAAGGTAGGATTTTGGGGGGGTTTTTTGGTGTTTTGGGGTTTTTTTTGTGTTTTTGTTTTGTTTTGTTTTTTTTTAAAAAGGGTGTGTATGTTTAGATAAATGGGCAAGGTAACACTCAAGAGCAGTGATAGTGTTATGGCATTACTATAAAGCAGTAGTATCAAATAAGAGAATGTATTTTTAAAAATGCCTCAATTATTTTTTTCTTCCAATCCTTGGTTTAGTTTCTTTTGGAAAAGGAAAAAGTAAGTAAGGCTTGTTAAAATACAGTGTTTAAGTCCTCCACTGCAGCAGGATCAGTCCCTGAGAGATCCCAGGACTGCGGAGAAACCTGGGTCCTTCAGGCGGGAAGGGAACCTGGGTATTTACAGCGAGAGAGCGGTGAGGTCCCACCAGAAGGTACCCGGGTGTGGGGGTGGGTCTCGGCCCGGTGCCGGCCTTGCCCCCGGGGAAGTTGGGGGGCTGATGCTGAGGCTGGATGTCCCGGGCTTAGCTGGGGTGCCGCCTGCTTAGCCCCCGCTTTTGGCAGCCCTTCAGGTGCCAGGTGGGAGCGCAGTGGTGCCTCGCTGTGAACAGAAAACCCCGCGTCATGCTGAGCGCTCTTGCCTGTGTGAGTGGAAGCGAGGGGTGGCGGTTAAGTGTATTGATGGAAAAAGCACGAGGGGTGGGCAGCTCAGCCCTCTGACATCAGGACGGCTCAGCATCAGCGCCCCTGTCACACATACAGTCCAGCTAGCCTTCGCTCTGCCGGTACCCCTCTGGAGTACCGTACAAGCCTGCTCAAAATATATATTTTTTTTTTTTTTTCCAGTTTCAGCGATGTGGGTTAGTTAATGTTTTTTTGCAGATGGGAAAGAGCTCTGCAAGTTATTTAATAGAGAATTTTATTTGTGCTAGCAGTATCTCCACCAAACAGGCTACTCTTAATTAATATCTATTTAGATTATACTTTCTGGAAGCTAGGGAGTTGCCACAGATAAGTATTTGAACAGCGTGTGTGTTTTTCTGCCTCACCATGGAAATCAGTACTGAATTACCGTAAATAATATTACATAACATTTGATATTTGTTTTCCTCAATACATTCTTCTGCTTAATGTCCTAAAGCTGCAGATTTCCAAACTCTGTACCTTGCTGTTAAGGTCTTGCAAGGATTGTGCTTTTTTAAAGACCACACTGGACCAACTTTTTATTTTAGCTCAAGGTTTCCCTAAGTTCAGGAAGGTCACATGCACTAACCATAATTGAAAAAAAGGGTACAAAAATACGTGTGTGTATGCAAGCAGCAGTAATTTAACACCTCGTGGGGAAGCAAAAGCCAAGTGCATGTTGAGAAAATCCAAAGATCATTTCCCTCGACAGTTAATCATCTGCTTTTTTCGATGTGCTGCCTGTACGTAGTCACTACTACTACTACTAATTAAAAAACTGAACCTGTTAGGGTGCTGGATTCCTGTTCTGTTTGTGCAGAAACCTCACTGAACAGGAGCTGCTTGTAGGCACAGAGAGGAGCCTCTGCACTGTCAGCCAAAACAGCTAGGATCTTGTGTAGTAAGAATCTGTAAAACTCACTGATGAAGCAGGCGTTTTCTCAAAGGCAATGTTTTGTAGATCATAGAAGGAGTTGTCTTTGTCTTGCACTATACAGTGAAACTCTTTGTGAATACAGAGCAAATACATAATGAGCTGTGGCAGGTGGACAAGAAATGAGATTTTCTTCTCTAATAATTTCTTGGCTGTAGTTAAGGTCACAGATTTGACTTAGTTGACTTGTCATCGTTTTGACAGAAAAGGGCTAGTACAGACAGCTGCAACAACAGAGATACAGAAAAAGGTTGGTTCAAAGGCAAATATCCTTTTGGGAAGGGTTAGTGGCAGATTAGCAGTGGTGACAGCAAGGACAAAAGCACGGTGAAGCAAGAGCTCCGTAGACTAGGAAGTTGATTTTAGTTTTCTGCTACTACAGCACAGCCATCCCTGTGTATTAGGGGGGTAGCTGAGGGTGAAGCAGGAACTGGTGAAAGATTGTTTCTGTTTGAGCTTGGTTCTCTGTTCCTCTGCTTTCAGTATGGGGCTTAACGTGTTTGGATTTGGTTGAGGTTTTCTGGGAATGTTTCACATAGTCACCTCCTTGCAGTTGAGGAGAAGGCTTGAAGCAGCATTGAGAGACAGCTCTTTGGCTGACACAGGGAATACTTTTGTGATTACCTATATATGTTGCCCTTTAATGCTGTTGTCTGCAGCAAACAGTGTTCTGAGTCTTTGCTTGTCCACAAGATAAATATATACATTACACTGTTGATATGTGTGTGGGACTTGGTAGTTTATCATCGACCGTTTTACATGGTTCAAAATGCATTGTTAATGCAAAACAAACACATCTTCCTGGGTATTTTTAAACTATATAGAAAGCCATTTGAGGGGGAATGGTTTTGTGCAAATGATGAGAAGAGGTAGGGTGGCTTCCTGGGAAACCCAGCTCAGAAGTGCAGGGAGCTTATGTGCTGCTCCAGCATTTCTTTGGAAAACAAAATGAGCTTGCAGATCTTAATCAGCATTTTTGAGCAAGTGCCCATGTCACAAAAACTCTTAGCTCCTACAGGGAAGAGATAAGGTTCTGGTAAAAAAGATAATTCATCAAGGAGTATGCTGCAGTGCTGGTGTACGGAGGAAGCTGCCCCTAGACCGACTAAAGGAGAACATTTAATGTTCTTAAAATCAAGACCCAGCTAGTGAAAACTTAGATGTGGTTGTCAGACTCTTGATCCTCTTCCTAAGCAATCTATTTTTTTAATTCTTGCTTAATGTAATTATCTTTGCTTTGTGGGTCTTTAAAAAGTTTTTGAAACTTTTTGTATGCTTTTGAAAGGAACTCTGGTACCTGCTTATTTCCATAAGCAATCTCTGGGTTCATACATGGTGTGCTGTACCTCTTTTATGGGCTTTGGGGGAGAAAAAAAAAAAAGGGGGGGTGTGAAAAATTACTGGTTTTAGGAAACCATAATCACACTTGCCAGATGCTGTTTTAGAATAGCTCACCTCTGCTACGCCTTTCTGCAATTTGTAGGTACCAGGGCCTTGGTTTCTGTAAGTATCGTACCAGTGGAAATAGGAATCACAGCAGTGAGAAGTGTCTCTGCCACCAAGTGAGTTGAAACAATCAGGCTTACAGCTGTTACTTCTTCAGAATAACCAGAATTATTTACTGCCCCTTCGATTCACGGTTGATGACTTAAATCATAGTGTGTGGAAACTGATGTAAATTTCTAGGGAAGGCTGAATTTAATTACTTTTTGTCAAAATACAAGCTCTGTGAGACTTTTCTTCCCAGCTGCTTTGCGAAGCGGGAGTGATGGACCTGCTTTCCTAATGTGCTCGTCGGGGTTTGGACGAGGGAGAGAGGTTTCGTGGGCTTGGGGGGGGGGGGCTGCCATGGAAACAGGGATTTCTTACTTTTTTAATTATTGCTCCGGTACCACTCCTTCTTATGTGATGATCTTTCACCGTCCTGGACTTTCTCTGTGGGCCACAGCAAGAAAAAAGACCCCAAAGGCGGGATCGGGGTGCCCGGACGCGCTTTCCGTGGGATCCTCTCTCTTCCCGGCGGGTGAGGGGAGGGCAGAGCGCTGCAGCTGGGGTGGGTGCCGCAGGGCTGGGTGGGCTGAGCAAGTGCCAAGCACAGAGCTCCTGCCAGAGACAGCTGCCTGCTTGGTAACACCAGTATGGCTGCAAATAAGAATTGTCTACGCTCTCATAAACAAATTATACTTGGGCCTGGCCGGCTGGCACGTTTCTGCTATGGAAATTATTTCAGTTAGAGAGAAAATGTGTCTCTATGTAAAACATTTTTGAATTAAGTTGTTAAGCTTGTACAATTCCTGATATGGACAAAACTGTACCCATATGAGTTGCCTCCCTTTCAGGCAAGAGCTGATGTACCACTGTCAGTGCTGGAACGGAGCTTTCACTCGGCTGCTGTCATTTATTTAGTATAACCTCATTTGTGCCTACAGTTACAGTTTCAGATGGGTCTCATGAAGCTGGGCCTTCCTGGTTGCATATCAGTATTTCTTACTGTTTTGCTGCTGTGCTTAATATTTTTATAGTTTTAAGAACTGCAAAATAATTGCACTGAAATTTTGAGCTTGTTACATCTGACATTTAATGTGCATGGTCATACGGGTGCAAGTATGACCGCTTCAAGTCTTAGTATTGATTTGCAAGGCAGGTGCTGTATAAAATGTCCTTCCGTAACTGGTATGTTGCTTTTTGCCAACATAATGATATCTTTTCTGCTGCAGGAAAGCTGTAGCTTAGATCCCCAAGATGTGAAGGGGGAGGATTTTTGCAGATCAGAGCACCAGAGGGCAGTGCCGACCGCTGCAAATAACTTCAAAGTAGGCGAGGGCTACATGGTACCGGTTTTGTGGCCTGTCCATGAGTTGTCTCCTAGCTCTGCAGAAATACTGGTTGCTCACAATTAGTACAGAGTTCCCACCTTGTTTCTTGCAGGTTTACCATGTCTCTTCTGACAGCTATGAGACGCAAAACCAGCACTATGGAAGGAGCTTGACAAAGGAAACAGTGAAGGATGGTAAGGGAATTTGTGTGTCAGAATTTGGTGCTCTTGGATAGTTTTCATTTATTTACTTCTTTTTCCATACAGTTCTATAAATTCGTCCGTGTGTTCCCATTTCAAAAGTCCTTTTTTCTCCTCTTGCCGGATGGGTCTTCAGCTGTTTCTTGTAGCATTTGAACTACCTGTCAATCCTAAATTAAGTTTGCAGTTGGCTTTACCGGCGGCGTAGTCTATAGAAACTTCCTCATCATGTGTTTTTTACTACTAATAAGGGGGTGATAGTGGTAGAATTCAATTACTTTGCAGATTTGAGACTAGTGGAAACAGAAAATGAATGGAAAACAGAATGGAAAACTTTTAGAGGTATTAAATGTTTTTATTTTATTTTATATATATCTGTCTATGTATATTTATCTCCAGTGGTCTTTTGTGAATATATCCTGTCTTTTATATTAAAAAGCTACCGTAAATGCCACTTTCAATTTAAGAGGCCTTCTTGAAGTCAGTCAATCGATATGTTTTCTACCCTGAAAAGAAATACCCAAGTTACCATCATATGGCTGTTTGGTGATAACTGTTTCAAACTAGTTACTCGCTGACATCTGTTCACCTGTCCCCCACCGAGGGGCAGGAGGACACACGCAGGAATACACCCCTCGCCAGAGCTGGCATTAACTTGTCAGCTCTGTCACTCATTATAAAAAGCTGCTTATGCTTGTTTATCCTGGAGAATTTAATGGGTGCCTGTCCAAAACTTCCCAGGTGCTTGCTAAAATGACCTGGGGACCAGGAACCATGTTTACCTCCTGTTTGATCGATAAGTTGATTAGTTCGTTTTATTTACAATCCAAAGCCAATCTGTAGTATTACACAGACACAGCTGAGGTGACTGAAGGCATCCGAGTTCCTTGGTTCACTTTTGATTTGGTTAATAATCGCCTCAAAGGATACTACGTGAATGCTGTATGTTTCCTCAAATCAAGAACTATTGTCATCCCAAAAGAAACTAAAAACATTTATTTTTTTTTCCGAGGTGAAAATAATCCTGAAATGTGTCTCTGTCTTGCAGGCATCTCAGAGTTTTTCCACAATGGGTACTGCTTGAGAAAAGACGCGATAGCTGCCAGCATTCAGAAGATTGAAAAAATTTTGGAGTGGTTTGAGGGCCAGAAGCAACTCAACTTTTACGCGAGCTCTTTACTGTTTGTTTATGAAGGTTCATGTCAGGCAACTACTGTGCGGTTGAGTGATGTCACCTTGGCAGAGAAGAGAGGAGTGCCCAAAGGACTGTTATCAAGTGGAGACATACTGGAGTATAATAATAATATTCGTGTAATAAATTCGACAGAGAATGGAAAAATTGAGGCCTCTGTAAGTAAAGGCTTGTCCAAATTTTATGCACTTCACAAAAAGGCATACTCGAAGAGGCACCACAGCCAACTCTCATTAAAAGTTGAAAACTTGGAGCAAGGCAGCGTGTGGAAAAGCAGCACGTGCATTACCCAGGAGCATCTGAATGGGAACGTTATACCCCAACTGGAAAAAGTTTTCTGTCACATGCCAGCAGAGATCAAGGAAAGCGCAAACGTAGAAGTCCGAATGATAGATTTTGCTCATGTGTTTCCGAGCAACACAAGGGATGAGGGCTACATTTATGGTCTGAAGAATTTAATTACAGTACTTCAAAATATTTTGGACAACTAAATTCTTTGCTATGGTTTTTTTACTGGGGGCCAATGATAAAGAAGAGCAACAACATGAAGAATTTCTGCACTTGTAATGCTCTATAACTGGGTTTGTATTGTTCTATATTTTATTTGTCTTTGTACTTTTGGTAGAAGGGTTTAACTTTTTATAATCTCACTCAGGAAAATAATTGATAGCTAATTAGGGAGTGTGAAAGGAAGAAGATACTTGAGATTAAGCAGGATAGGTAAATCAGTAGAATGACATGTATATGGTTGGCTGAAATCCAAGGAGTACAGTTGTACAATAAGCAGGGGTTATGTTAGTTCCCACAGCGACTTTAGCACAGATAACATTTGCCCACTTAGCCTCGACACTGAGCCGTATCCCCATTGACAGGTGTTTAGAAAATGGACTGGAAACTCTTCGGGTGCGGGGCTGATGTCCTCAGTACCGCCCTCTTGTGTTTACTGTAGCTCAATAACTGGAGTTAACCCTACCCGGAGAGAAGCCCCGTTCCCAGTCAGCAGTCTAACCTGGAAGCCAGTGTATCAAAAAGCGCTCGTCAGTGTTACGGGACGGTAGTGCTGTTGTTTCACCCCTGGTGCGGGCGCTTCCCCGCTTGGTGGCTGTCCGTGGCCAGTGCTCACCGCAGACAAGCTGCAACGTGATTTGCGTTGAGGTGCTAAGAAAATGCTGGAGTGAAATATCCTGATAAGCTTAAACTGCACAACTGCTAGAGAAACTGCTTGTTCCTAAGAAAAAGTGGAAGAATGCAAACGCGAGATGTTCCAGGAACTAATTTGGTGTAGGAGATCCAGTCAGCCTGTTAATGGAGTGTCTGATGTTGCGACTAAGGCAAATGCCTCACTCCTTTGATCTGATGGCCCTTCTCCAAAAACACGGCTTTTAAAAGCAAACTAATTTGAATGGGGAAACAAAGCATTTTGAGTAAACATACAGAGATTTCCACTGCTGGGGAGAACCGACTGGAAACGACGAGCCATACAGGTGAAGGACCAGGACCCCTTCCTGCGAGGATCCGTCCCGCGCAGCCCCGGAGCCACCGGACGTACCTCCGTCGGTTGCAGTGGAATTGTGGCGCTCTTACCCTGGGCTAAAGCTAGCTCTGTTGCTGTTTAGGGGTTTTTTTGTTGTTGTTGATGATGACACACAGGCAAGCTGTGTAATTTAGTTTAAAAGTTGTCCCACTTCCTCCTTTTTCACAGGGAAAATTCAAGCTTTCGCACAGAATATTTGCGATTGGGATGATGTATCCAAAGTGGTTTGGTGTGTCTCTTCTGTATGCTGTGTACGTGGCTGTCCTACCATGCATATCTAGTCAGCTATACACAAAGTCAGGACGGAGGAGTCTTGCCATCTGTGGAGCAAGGTTTTAATGATCTAAGCAAGCCCCAGAAGTAAAACTTTTCAGAATGGATTCGGTCATTGGACACATACATCTTTCACGTGTGGACTTAATGTGACGCTGTGGCCTTGCAGCTCTCTGTGTGATGTTCTGCACTATGCACTCACTTGTGTACATCTCTCTGCAAGTCCTAAATTTGACATCTGGTTTCTCTATCAGAAAGAGAGAAATACTTTTTCAAGCAAATATGCTGTTTTAAAAGAAGCCGAAATTTTAGCTCTGTTTGAGAACCTGGCTTAATTGGAAGAAGAGGAGGTATTCTGTGTTAGAACGACATTGTTTAAACTTTAGAGCTAATATTGGCCAATACAATCAAGAATGAAACCAGGCTGTTAGTAACAGCATTTTTGAAGCATGGGAAAAAAAATGCTTGCAGGAGGGGCAGTATCATTTTGTTGAAAATTTTATGCAAATTATGCTGAAGGCTGAGGGAAAATTATCAGGAAGATAAAGTATTTTTTTTCTCCCTGGTGTTTCCATTGCACCATAGAGATAATATATTCGCAACTCTCTGTGAACTAATTTAAGCCATATTCTAGGAAGAGTTTGTGGTTTTGTTTACTCTCACGCTGGTTTCTCTGTTAAGATTTGGTTCTATCCTATAAATAGTAAATGCTAGAGTAGTCTGGGCTGGTAGTGACCTCGAATGATAAATTTACAATGTTTTATAGCAGATATGGGGGAAGACATTTATATGGCTGAATTTTTGTCCTCTGTCATTCATCTCTCTTCTGGACTTTAATCCATTTTGTGCTGGAGAAATTGGACATCTGCCTCAGACATCAGTTATTGGAAAATGATCTGTATTCTCTTAATAGAAACGCATTCTCCTGTCTCTGCTTTAAGATACGTGTCTTCAGTGTTTGAATGCTCCTTAAGTATTGATTTTTGTGTTGACGATGGCAGTGTTTGTAATGCACCTGGAATATTGTTAATCTGTCAGAATATTTTTAATAAAAAAATAAAATAATTTTATCATGTTTTTTTTACCAGTAGTTACTATGGATATATTTCTGTTAATTTAAAATGGAGCTTGAGAGATAACAGTATTTTTAACTGGAAATTGTGTAAATAAAGCTTGCTGTAGAGGTGTCTTGGCATAGTACCAACTGTGAATTTAAGCCCGCAAAGGTGTTCCATTCACATTGTTCTTGCACATTTCAGATTCAGTCTTTGTCGTGTCTTGTATCTGATCGGATTGTTTCCAGCTGTAGTTGAAGATGTACTCATGGAAACCATTAAAGAGATTGCAGAACTAATGAGACAACGAAGAGGGAGACACTGCTCCCTGAAGGCACGCATGGCTGCCCATCTGCCCCGCGGTGTGCCCCGCACGAAGCGTGCAGGGCAGGCGGCAGTTGGGTGGGAATCTTTCCGGCAGCAGGGACAGGGCTGATGGGTCCTTCTGTCCCATCAGACTGAAAGCAGGACCCTTCCCCAGGCTGGTGGGGGGTGTCGGGGTGCTGCTGGGGGTGACATCTCCCTGGTGTGATGGTAGCAATAAGAGTTTGGTGTAGCGGAATTGATTGTCAGAAGGGAAGATTGATGGAAACGTCATTTGTGTACTCTCAGAATATACTTTTCTAAAGACTTTATACCTAGGTGATCGTAAGAATTGTGTATAGGCTTACCTAACGAGAGCTTGAGTTGTATAAAGTTTTATAAAAAAGCATTCACATACATGGTATTTTTGGATATGGGTAGAATTTGTTGCATAAGTTACATTGGAAATTATTATACCATTATGAAATGTTTAAACTATTTTAATCAAATTGTTTTATGAACTAAACTGGAGACTCCATTTACAGTTGTGATTCACATGAAACCTGTCCCATTTCCTGTTGTTTTCTGCTGTAATACATAGTCAAAACGTTCTTTTGCATAACCCTACAGTTTCATGGAGAAGTTTTAAAGTACTCAGTAGATCAGGAAATCACTAATTCCTTTTAGTTTAATTAATAGAATTCATCCGTTCTTGAAATACTTCAGTGCACATGGTATTTTGAAGTCATGTTAGTGTGTCATACATCTAGAGCCCTAGTAAAGCTCCCTCACCCGTAGAGAGCTTCTGCTGATCTGAGTCTGGGTTACGCGGAGTTTAAAAGGGGCCTTTTCCCACCTAAGGGCAGGGGGGGCCAAGGGGGGGCACTGCCCACGCTGGCCATCAGGCAGGGCGGCTACAGCCTGATCCTACAAAGCCTTTTAGCTCTTGACATGAAGTACTATCACGTATAGGAAGACAGTGGAAGGACAGACACTCACATACACATCTACTCTTTACAGTTACGATTAGTAGTTCATCCTCCCTCCTAACTTTTTTTTTTTTTCTTCCCCAAGTGAGCTTTCCTCCCGAGTGCCTTCTTCGGCCCTTGCCACTGGTAATCTTCTGTACCACCTTTGTGGAATTATTTCCATTTTTATTTCCAAAAAAACCTATGCTGTGTAACTGCTCTTAAAGTGCAGGTATTGGAAAACACCATCAAAATGCCTCCAACACTCTGGGAAACGCAATTTCTCTTTTGCGCTCTTTCCCATGAAAGAGGAGGAGTGGAATGTTAGCGCAGAGCATGCTGCGATGGGAGACTGGATCGTAGGTTTTACAGAACGTCCTTATCTGTGGTCTGAAGAGGACATTTTGGGGGCGAGGTGAGTGACAGCCAAACTGCGTGCAGTTTTCCTTTTCTTCCTGCAGTTAATACTGAGGCTGGGGTTTAAGAAAGTGGCATAGCGGGAAGCGGTGGGGGTTAATAAGGAGCCCCAAGTAGGACACCTGGGCAGCCCTGCGCCATGGGACGTGGCCACGGGTGCAACCCAAAGGCTGCGAGCCCTCGAGCATCGCGCCGCGAGAAGGGGCCGTGCCCAATCCTCGAGCTACAACGCGCCCTTGTAGGGTGCTGCCGGGGAAGTGCGTCCCACCCCCGAGGCAGCGGCCAAGCACTGGCTGTTTTCCGTGCTCACGGCAACCTGGAAAGGAAAGCTGAGGAGAAGGTTGTCATCCAGAGGGCAAATGTAACTGTCTGAGCAGTGTTTGAAAGGGGAGAAAGGAGGAGAAGCTGAGGATTGTACAGCAGAAAATGCACTTCAGGAGGGATCTTCTACTGCGGTCTTGTTTGGTGGAGGTGGGCCCCGCTCCTGTGGTTGGAGTTTGTTATATGACATTCAACAGCAACTAGAACGCAGGTCCTTTAAAACCACCCTAGTCTGAATCGTGTACATTGGTTCTAATAGCTATTCAAAAATTAAAAAAAAAAAAAAAGTGACCTATGAAGTAACTTCCGAATATTATGTGTTGCACCTGACTATAAATGAAACTAGAGTGCACAAAGGCACTTTAATACTCTGGGAACTGTACTGGAAGGTAAATGAGAGCATGTGAAATTGCACCTGATGTTGTGTTGTTAATTGTTTTTAAAATCTAAAATTCTACATCAGTTATGCTTGATGGATGAATGTATCTAGTCTAGTCTGGTCTCAGTTTCTTTGATTCAAGTGTCTAGAGCCGTCACTCAATCTCCTCTAATTTGTATGTGTTTGTAATTTTATTTGCTGTTTTTTTGCCATTATTGGACTGCAGGGTGGTATTGTTAATATTACATGTGTTTATTTTATAGAACATTGTACTATGCTATCCACCAACTTTTGTAACATAATTATAAGTGATATTTAGGGTAATTCTAATAGCTGTGTATTTGGCAAATTATTAAAATTCTCTGCAAGTGACTTGCAAGTATAATTGGTTTCTTTTTAATACAGGAAGATTGCTTAGAAAAAGGCTTCTTGAATATACCTGCACTGATTAATCTCTTCTTCTTTCTCCTCTTTTCTGTGCACAACGTGATGGGTGTTTACTTTGGATTTACCAGTTCTGCTTTACCACCATATTTTTGGCATGGCATCCATTGCTGTTGTTTGTTGGGAATACTTGCCTTGGTATACAAGAGTCATCTCTCTCAAATGAAAAAAAAATCCAAACAGAACTTGTTTTTTGAACAAATGTCTGCATTGCTGTGTTGCATGTGAATTGCTGGTCAGCATTGTATTCAATCTCCACACCTGCCCACTAGTCTTTTTCCTAAAGCCTTCTTCCCTGCTAGGAAGTGCTGTGCTGAATGGACAGAGGGTTGGAAAAGACAAAGGCATCCCCTTAAGTGAGAGATGGGGAAAAAAAAAGGGTTTTTTTTTTCCTTTTTTCATAAATTTGAGACAGTTCAGGCCTTGATGAGCAATAGGAAATGGCTATTTTACTCCAGAAAAATAGAACCTCAAGACTACCTTAATGTTTGATTGGAAGTTGTGAGAATCACAGCTTAAGGGTGTTAAAGCTGACTTGATTTTTCTCCATGTCCTTTCAGAAGAGGGTGAGTAGTTGGGCAGTGAAAGGAGGGCTGAGATGAAAATGGGGAAAAGCTATGCTTTTCCCTTGTGCTCTGGGTGGTAAAGCAGGATCCTGTGGGTTGTCCTCAAAGAGGACATAGTCTGACCTGTATATGGAAGAATTTACTGCTGTACTAATGTAGACATGAGTTATTGCTTTGCATATGCAAAACCTAAATTAATCAACTGATGGGCATCGTGGTTGTAATTATATTAGAACAGCTGATGCCAATTAATAGTAGATTCCAGCTAAGGGACACTTGTGCACAATGCCTGTGGTTACTTTGGAAGGTAGAGCATAGCAGTCGTCTTTTACGCTATACCTTCAAGTAAATTAATTAAATTGTTTATGCAGGACATCTGTACCTAAAAGTTCCATAATCCCTTGAACTCATCCTGGAAAACACTTAACAGGTCATCGAGAGGCTGTGTGTGTTGTTGATCACAAGCCCTTTTGCATCCGTGATCAGGTCCCTACTTCAGAAAGCCTGCAGGAGGAGCCCTCCAGCTTCATTGTGAATATGTTTGGGTTTGGTTTTGTTTTAAGTGCATTACCTTGTTTGTGTACCAAAAGCTTTCTAAATGTGTTCAGTAGTGTCAGTATTGTCCTGTGGGTCTGTGTAGCCTTCCTTCCCATGCTCCAGAATTGAGGAAATGATTAAAAATGGGGTGAGAAGAACAGAAGCATAGTTTCTTGAGGATCTAGTTTTCACTGGGTTTTAAATTTCAAAAACCTGAATGCACTGAAGAATCCTCTAAAGAAAATGCCATGTCCTTGTTTTAAAGTGAAGGAGGAGCCCTGCTCCTTTGTTGCCTGCCCCAATCACTTGTCAGTGGGGTATCGCCCAGCCGGGGTCACCCCATCTCTCTGCTGTCTCCTTCCTTGCACTGACGGGAGTGTTTGATCGGCTGCATGGTGGAACATGCCAGGAGCTGATGTGGCTCCAAACTGACTCAGAAAAAGAAAATAACAGGTGGGGAGGCGCAGCAGTGAGCTGGGGAATTGCACAGAGCCTCCCATAAGGAAATCCCACCCAGGATGGCGGTGGTTTGGGCTGTTTTGATACAGCCCTGTATGAGGACTGAACCTACTACTCCTGCCCTAAAGACCTACTCGTGAGTCTTTGCCAGCCCAGCCCCTGGGTTCGTTTTCCCCTACCTCTGCTGCACAAAGTGTGACAAAGGGCTGAGGGATGCTGAACGTTACAGTCCCACTCTCACCTCACCCTGGGCCATCTGTTCCCACGCCCTCTCCATCTCAGCTGAGGCTTTCTGCAGCCAGGGGGTTTCACTGGAAACCCATCTGACACACAAATTACTAATTTCCTGCTGTCCTGACTTCCTTGATTTGGTTCATTTGGGGAGAGACAAGTGCCTCTTCTAGGTGCAGTGGAAGCGGTGGAAGAATGTGGCTGTGGGAAGGGAATGGGATTGCTAGAGAGCCATTACCGAGGCTTACCTTTAATATTGGACATTTCTCTACATCTGTGGCTGCTCTGCTCTCTTTGCTTTTACTTTTCGTCCCTCTTGCCATCCCCAGATGTAGACTTCCACTAAATGTAACTTATTTTAGTTTGTGGATGAGGTCACCACAAG